CAAACTATCATGGCATTCAATTGCTAGCAAGATTTAACATTGATTATTATTGCAATGTCAACGATAACTTCATTAACTTTAAACGAATATATACACACACACACACATACACACACACGAGTAATGATCTAATGAGCAATGATACTCATCTTAAACTAAATACCAGTGATATGTCATATTAGTTTCTTTGCGGATAAAGATTTGGTGGGTCTTAACATTTGATTTAAATTTATTATCCACCAATATATGTCTCTGTTTGAGTCACATTAAAATTCTCATTCTCATTTTTCTACGCATTTTCAACACATTCTTCAATAAAATAATATTTTCCATCACATCAATAACTTTTTTTTCTTTTTCAATCACACATTCTCCATCAATCTACTATTCGAAAATACACTCTTCCAAAATAATATGGCTCAAACACACTCATATATAACTTTTGGGTAATTGCATGTGGTGTTCATCAGAAAATTCAAATCAATCGCTCTTTAACTATTGACTGAAAGCACAACTGACCCCATTTTAATCACTCGGAGAGGCATAAAAGAACCATATTTTCGACCAAGAAAAGTTCCAAGTTGAGAATCAAAATGAAACCATGGGAAACACACATTGTGATTAACCCTACAATCACGTGTCCCAAAAAATATATGATACAAACATTGGGAAAAAAAAAATTAAGAAAGACAAAAACTGCAAATGCAACCCATGATCACGTGCCAATGGCAAGCTAATAATTTGTTTTTCTTTTTCTTCTTTCTGAATTATTGTGCATTAACTCAATTGGTATGAAATTATTGATGAATTATTTGTATGCTAAAAACTATTTTATTTCATTTTCCTATTAGTTTATAAGTTTTTATCAGAGAATTCAGTTAATTTAGCTGATGGAACCGACAATGTAGGGTCCATGTTGACCACGTGGCGAACATCAGCTTCCACGTTCCATGTGGGACCCAAACCATTGGACATTGCCCTTGGCCTAATTAAGTTAAATTAATCCTATTTAATAATAATTAAATGAAACAAGAAGGTACTATATTATCACTCTAAAATTAATCTTAATAATCAAGTTCCACATGGAATAAATAATTAGTAATTTAGTTGCATTATTTTACATAAATTTGGTTGAAAAAGTAATAAATGGAAACATATTACCAATAATTTACAATTTCTCCGAGCTTAGTTCGAAAATAATTTGAGCCTATTAAATTCACAATCTTTTTTTAGGCAATTTTTTCCTACTCAAGTCATTGAGTAAATTACCTCCCAAAATATAATGAATTTCGTTCCAAAGAACTTAGTGCCATCGTCACATAAGATTCTGATTTGTAAGCCAAAGTTCAAATCGATAATGAGAAACGCCGAATTTTATAGAACTTTTGAGAAAGGAATCAAATTATTATATGGATTATAAATTTCTTTAATGATAAGATGAAATGGGATTTTCTAATAATAATTAGGGATAATTACATAAAACCAGCTGTTTAGTTTCAAGTTTATGAAAATCAAGTTTATACTTTATTTAATTAAAAATCAGGTTTTAGTTTCACAATTAATATTAATAATGATATTATAAAATTAAATTAACCTATATACCCACCCTATTACCTACCCCACCACATTTCAATCCCAAACCCTAAATTCACTACCCATCTCCTTCCAGGCTTCCCTTCATTCCCTTCTCCTCCATTCTCCCTCCCCATCTCTCACTCCGGCCTTATCTCAGTCGCCCCCTTCTCCTTCCCCATCTCTCCCTCGGTTCGACGCTTCTGTGAATGGCAGCAGCACCTCATCAATGAATGTGCGGTTATGCCTCTTGCTGCTGCTCTTCCTTCGCTGGCTTCTGTCCTTGGAATCGGATTTTGAATCTGTGTATGAATCAGAGGACTCAGACGAAGAGCTGTACTTCTGGTGCCTCCTTTTCTTTTACTTCTTATTTTTGTTCTTTCATTTTCTCTTCATCTCTTCCTCAGAATCTGGCAAATGTGTGGCGGATGTGCAGGTAGGGGTGGATCTGCGACGACGCTGAGTGGTTTTGGGTTTGTTTGTTGGTGTGGCGGTGGCGGTAGTGGTTCCCTTCGATTAGATCAGGCGAGGTGGTGGTGATGTGTGGTTGTGGTGGTTACTGCGACAATGGCGAGGTGGTTAGTGTCGCTTTGCTCTCCGTTAGTGATAGAGGTTAGTTGAAAAATGATGGTTGTGGCGGTGATTGATCTGGCGGGTGTTGGTGGTAGCGGTGCTGACTTTTTGGGGGTTTTTTTTTTTTT